ATGTGTTTTGTTTTTCTGGGATGTATTTAACAGTACTGTTGTAAATTCTGTTAAATTAAATTGTCTAGCATAGATGTTTAGTTGAAATTGTAGGAAGGCATAGTTAAAATGGGATAAAAATCACTTGTTTTTTTTTTTTGCACAGTATGGAATTTTATAGCAAATAATTGTATTATTTTTTTTATTATTTTTTGAAAATATTATGTTACTTATAGACAACTATATTTATTATTTTATTCTTTAAAAACTTCATTACTATATAGTATTATTATTATTATATTAATAATATATTTATTATGTATAATGTTTATGTGCCAGTAAAGACTGCTATTGTTATATATAATATTTTTGTTATTATTATTTAATACAATAAAATAATTATTATTCTTATTACTTTATTATTTTTATATTTATATTATTGTACTTAAAATAACATTTAAAAATAACAATAGTAATATAATAATAATAATAATAACTATTATTATTTAAACATTATGTACAATAATAAAAAACAATTGTGGTGAGGCCAGTAAAAATATTGGCAGGGCAAATAAAACCTGAACTACTGGCTCAGCCGGACTGGCATGGGGAAAAAAAATAATTACTGAAATAGATTTCCCTGATAAATTAAGACTCATCATGGAGCCGAGTCATGCCAGAGGGAAAACGAATGCTTCTGAATCAGATGACAGCACTGTATAAGGTGTGTTCACCTCTGTCTTGGGGTTAATGTACATCGCCCTCTAGTGGATGGAGGACTTTGTGATGGTTTTCTTGAGCGTTTGTGGGAGTGGGCCATCTTTCCAATGACAATTTGCAACTAACAATCACATTCTTCCTGCAACCGCACTCAAGTTGTTGAGAAATGAGTCCCATTCACCATGATTAACTTCATTTTAGTCCCAGACAGCAGTGATTTGTTGAACAAGGATTATATTTTGCCATCAGGAAAAAAAGATAAAGCGAATGCTGACTGTGAGAGAATGATCTATGTTTCCAGGTTTGGACAAGCATGAGGAACAAAAATGGATAGGGCAGTTCCTACGGGAAATGCAAACAGTCACTTGACATTTCGAAACAAATGCTAACTGTTGCTGCTGAAGCACCGTTCCAGGAGACGCAGAGCCGAGCTGGGTCCTGTCGGAGGAGAGAAGGAACGAGAACAAGAGAGATAGAGATGAACAGAGAAAGAGTGAGAGAAAACATGAGGGAGCGCCATGCGGTTGGATGGTATTCTTGGGAAAGTTTGCAGCTCTTGCAGTATCTGGAGCTCAGCTGGGGACAAATACCACATGGAATCGAGAGGAAGCCTGCAGAAGTAGAGAGGGCCTTCTGGAGGAATGTTTCACTTCAAATGGAAAATGTTTGCAGCTGTTCGCCATCGTTTAATGTTGTGTATATATGGTATCCCCTATGATTCTGAACAAACAGATTCTTCTGTTGTCACCTGGGCTTTTTAGGGCATCATGGTTTGGGTCGTTATTGCATAGAAGGTGTATTGTTTTGAAGGTGCTTACCAGCTAGAGTGAACTTCTTTTTTCAAGTTTTTCAAGCTCCAGAATCAAACTCCAAACAAACAATATTTTGGCCTGATTTTGTTTGAAATGACATCACCCCAGATCATTCTTCAATTTCGCTTGAAGTATATTGGGGCCGTCACAGTACCCTTTAATGCAAGTCAGTCACTTTGCAAGTATCTTGGTAATCGTAATTACAAATAGGAAACTCTGGATTTTCTTAGAGCCCCGAGTTTCTGATTTGGGTCAGTGCAAAAATATAGTATGCAATGGATGCAATGTCCGTAGTTGATAGTAAAATTATTGGAATGCATGAAGTTTTTTTTCAAATTGCTTGCCCAAAATATAGTAGAATCTTCTTTTGCGTTCCATCGAACAAAGAAAGTCACACAGGTTTGGAACCATCGGAGGATGTGTGAACTGTGACTGAATTTGATGGTTTGATGGTCAGAATTTCTGTAGGCGAAATTAAGTAATTTGAATAGGAATCGCCGTGATCGCCAATTTCACCTGAGGGAGAAAGAATTTGCCACGCAGATTTTGCAAGTTGGTCACACAGATTCACCATGTTAAGCAACAGAGCTGCTTGGTTTGAAAATGACTTCTGTGTGAGCTGTGCTTCATGCGATGTTACACTATTGACAATAGACCTTTTCACCTGCGAAATTTCACTGATATTTTGCTAAGGTGACTGCACCTTGAGTCATCTACTTGTAGGGTGTGTTGGCCTTCTTTTTGCCCCAACAGCACCTGATCTGACCTCTGGCAAGCTCCAGGTACGGATTCCTTAAGAAGACGCTACCTACTTTCACTGAGATGCCAACCTTAGAGCTTGGCTAGGCAAACTTGGCACTGCCATAATGTCATTGTACTCCAACCACTTATTGTGAAGTTCACCTCGAGTCCATCTATTTTCATCGTTCAATGGCTCCTCTGTTCTCTGTGGTTTATAATAGCCACGCAGTTTGGATGACAGCAAGGTGTGGAAACAGTTATTGGAAACAGTTTTCCAACAGGCGCCTTCGCCTTTGCCTGCTCCGAGAGGCCTTGCGCGGAAAAGACCGGGCTTTTTGGATCTGCTGGGGGTTTGTTTGTTGTTCTTCACTGTTATGTTTCATGGTTATTGTTATTGATGAGCTAATGCTGTTTCATCCTCAGACATGCTGGTGGTTAAAGCTCACGGACACTTGTGTGAAAAAATGAACAATGCGGCAGGCGAGAACCTTGCTGTTATTGTATTAGCCAATTCGGGGAAAACCCCTTGCACCATGCGGGCCTGAAATGATTACATTTTTCCCTTCGAATAAGTGTGTGTGCACAAGTTGTACACTGTTTTTTCATGTCCGAGTGTCTTGGTGTGAGGTATGTTGTTCTTGCACCAGTTGCCTTTCTCCTGATGACGCCACTCTGTTGGAATTTGCCTCCTTGTAGTTGGTGTGTGTGCACATGCACCAGCACGGACACACGCCCCCGTACATAAAGGGGAGTCGGGTCCCCCCACAGCCCAGGGACTCAGAAGACCCCTCTGTTCTGCCACTGCTAACCAGGACCATTTGCTGCCGTGTTTTTTTTCTTGCCCCGCGTCTCCTCCTTTCTCATTTTCTTTCTTTCTTCCTGCCCATTTTCACCCGCTCCCCTTCCTGTCTGGGTTATGGCAATTGTACATAATTTTGTTTCGGGGTACGGTGGAGCGTTGCATGTGTGTGATGTGGGGGGGCGTACGGATCGGTCCTCTAGAGGCCGTGAGGGGGTTCGCCTCAGTCTGATTGATGGGGGAGGTGTCGCCTCGGTTCGCTCATCCATCACATACTTTATTTGGGTTTTAGAGAAGAGGAAAAGGAAAAGGGAGGGCAGAAGGGGGGTCCTCGCTCCTCCAAAAATATCAGACCGGTGAGCCCGCCGTGCTTTCTCTACCCCCCTGAGCCCGAGCAGGAATAGACGTCTTACCCTTGTGACCCAGCACCATTCAACAGTCTCAGCACTGGCAACAAAAGACAGATAAATGTGGCCCAGATAGATTTAAAGCAGATTAGGCAGCAGGTTCCTGTGTTCTGGAACTTTCTATTCTTTCCTTAGCTGTGAGAAGTGGAAGAGGAATTCTGGGATAGTTAGTGGGCATGTTGTCTTTGTACAGGACTCGAGGTGTCTGTTTTTATGTGCTTTTTAGACCCTGACAAACAGACTGTATTAGTTCTGTCAGTACTGATAACTATGTAGCGTCTGATATATATTCAGGTTCCCAAATGCTTTAATAAACATTTAAAATAAACAAATAAACTAATAATAATAATTTTTATTATTATTAAAATGTTACATTGATTAGAAATATTTATGACTGTTAAATGTTCTCTTCTCCCTATCATTTTTCTGTTGCCTATAAAACTTTTTATTTATTTATTTGTTTTTTGTTGTTGATATTATTATAAAATGTTACATAATAACTATGGAATTATGAAACTTTATTTAGCTTTTTTTTTAAATAATAATAATAATTTGTATTTCTTAAACACCTTTTCCACAGCAATATTGCCTCACAAACAAATACATATTTAAAAATTTATATATTACATATATTATAAAGTAACTCTGTTTTGTTTACTTAAAACGGAATCTTTTTTAGTCATATTTGCATATTTGTTGTGTGATAGTATAAACACCTGCATGCTTGTGTTTAAGTACAGGAAATATAACAGGATTGTTTTTTTTTTAAGACAACACATCTGCTTCTAAAGATCTGTGAATAATTGCTTCTAAAGATGAACAACAATGAATAACAATATTTCAACTGTTTCCCGTCTATTCATGTAGTTTTAAAATGCTATTAAATAAATATTCAATCCTTCTTTTTCTCATAGTGTCACTGCTTCTTGATAAAACGACTTTTCTTTTCAGCTTACATAATTTAGTCTGTGCTGGCAGGGAAAATAATGTTAACCAATAGCCAAATAGCCAAGTTTAGGCATTGTTTTAGGTAATGCAACCTTTCCAACAGTAATTAAATGCCAGTTTACCTACATAATAAAGGTTACAGCAGTGGTAGCAAATAGCGATAGATTTGAAAAAGAAGTGTTATCCTTGGTATCCATTGAGATGATATTCAGCTTCCATGTCCCCATGTCAACACACAGTTTCCGGCAGGTAGAAGCTACAATGTGACCTGGAAGTCTGCAAGGTCTCACTCCATTTTAGTTTCTAACGCCCATTTTTCATGATCCAGTTCCCCCCTTTTTTTGTTCACTCTTGGAAATGCGTCACATCAACGAAGTAGAATGTATTGCTAATGTTTAATGTCTTTAAGAATAATTGTTAATTGTTTGAATTGCTTACATGATCAGCAAAAACACTAATCTATGAAAAAAATACAAATTGTATGCAGGTAGCAGGTTTTTGCAATTCAATTTGTGTCTCTTTTATTTTGATCTAAAAGCAAATTAAAAGATTTCACTTGCATGTTTTCAACTTGTTTTTACAATTTTTACCAGTTAGCAACATCTCTAGCGAGTCGGTTTTATTCACGGTTGACTTCGTTAAAACAGAGGAAATAGATTTGAGTTTGAAATGCATCATTTACCCTCTGTCAAATGCTAGGAATGCACCCTTTGAACTGTCCGGGGCATCGTCTTGACTCTCACTGTCCTTTTCTCATTTTCATTCATTTGCCTCTCCAGTCTCTCTCTGGTGTTGCCAGGCAGCCAAGGCACTCTGATATCCATTTTGCATGCTTGTTAGAAAAAAACACAGTTATGAATATTCAGGGCATTCAGCAACTTCAAGGAGGGGGGAAAAGATGGAAGGTAGCAAAGAAAGCAAGGGAGAGCCGGGCAGACATTTAGCTTTGTTCTTATTTTAAGTGCATCAGTCATGGAGTGGAGTAGCTCAGAGGCAAACAGCTTACTGTAAAAATCTGCGGCGCAGGGAGAATGGCAACTTCAGATTAGGCATGGTCTCTGTTTGAGGGTCCCATACTGGACTGGAGGATGTCTGGTGCCGCTGAACCCCAAGACGTCAGACAGGCGTGTCTCTGGGGAGAGACAGTATTACAAGAAGCTCACTTGGTACGGCAATATTTATCATCGCCTACTAAGTTGTGTTAGTCGGTCAAAACAGAACTGTAGGAACTTGTAGGAAAAGTGCATTAGCAGAGTGGTGGTCCAGACATGGTATGCATTTCTGTGAAAATAATAATAATAATAATAAAAAAACAAAACAAATTGCAAACTTGACAGCTAGTGATCACCATGCATTTTATGTATATGGAAAATAGCTTCTTTAATATTTTGATGATAACTCCTTAAGTGTTCCACTGGAAAAAGTTTTAAGCGACACAAGGGTGGGTCAATGATGACAGAACTTTCCATTGAAATTACATGATCTAAAAAATGACTAAAATGTCATGATACCTTAGTAATAGCACATTGTATTGAATGAGTGGTTTCTGCCACAGCAGTTTTACACAAACACTTTTTTTACTTGCTACAATCTATCAACTTAATAATCAAAGATACAAATAATCTTTCCAAAAATCTGAGGGGTCACTTTTCTGGTAATGCATGGCTGTCCAAAAAGGTTTATCATATTAATGTGACTGTTCTGCAAATGCCTCAACCTTGGGGAACTTTTTCCATGATATTATTTCGAAAGAACACTAATTGGAAAAGCTCACTGGACTTTGGCCTATCCTGAGCCTATACGACGAGCTCAGCTTATTTTTGGATGGCTTCTGAAGGAGCACTTGTTGCCTCCTCATCCTACGCAGTGCACTGGACCCTGATCCTTTATTACTCTCATGCTCTTTTCCAGCTGTTTCTGAGCAACATTCCTCTGTTTACCCCCCCTCCCTCTGTAACCGTATCCCCCTGAAATCTCTCTGGGAAGTCCTGTGAAGAACACCGTGGATGTTGTTCCCCCTCGTGTTGGTGTGTAGATGCTGTCACTGAGTTTTCACAACCAGGAATCAGTTTTAATACAGTGCCAGGAGTTACCATCACATGCCTTGAAGTCTCAATGCAAATATTTATCTGAATGTGCGTACTTCAAACGAAACCTCACACTTGTTCGCTTGCGAGTTATGAACAACTCTTGACAACATCCTGTCATATCATGTATCAAAAGCTCCAGTCCAACTCGACTGCATTGCCGGGTGAGCTTGTGGCTAAGGAAGAGAATGCTAAACATGATCTTTATTCAGAATAACCGGGAGAGGTTAAGAGGCCATGTGCGCTACAGACTGCAGTCAACTCTATCATTATCCGAAGTTTGGTATACGCATGGGCCACTTATGACACCCTGCAGGGCTCTGTTGTGCACCGCCACATCAACAATTTGCTATGAGTCACAAACGTGCGGCACGCTGAGCTCCTACGAGAAACACCACCAGGGACAACATAGCAGTGGGTCATGGGGATACGAGCGGACAGGAAAAGAGACCACATCATAAGCGGATGCTGCTGTGACGCATCGCCTCTGGAAGCATAATGTTTATCCAATAATGTGAATGGAGTCCTCTGGGTTTTCAGATGCCTTGATCATGTTTAAGCTGTTCGTGTAAAGTTTTAGATTAACCTTAAAAATTTTTTTTTTTAAAAACCTTGGTATAGTATTGTTTTTTATGTTAACTTAGTAATACCACAATGTTTTGTTTTGTTTTATTTTATTAAATTCTTAAAAAAAAAAATTTTTTTTTTTTTTTTTTAGTATCAGATTTTTTTGCAAATATATAGTTTTATTTATATCATAATATAACTTTATTTTTTATTAAATTAATTTTTATTTACTTTATTTATATCAGTTTTTTGCACGTTTTGTTTTGTTTGCACATGTGCCATGGCAATACCATTGTATTCTTTACTATAATGAATTTTTATTTTTTTTATTAAATTTTTTTTATTTTGTTTTTGTATGTATAGTTTGGGGTCTGTAAAATATTATTACATTTTAAAATAAATGTTCTATAATGAATTTGTATTTTTTTTATTAAATTTTTTTTATTTTGTTTTTTTTTGTTTTGTTTGGTATGGCAGTACTTTTGTTTTGTTTGACATGGTAATACAATTGTATTAGTTACTATATTGGAATACCATTACGATATGACATTTTATTTTATTTTATTTAATTAATGAATTTAGATTTTTTTTATATATCAGATTTTTTGCAAATATATAGTTTTATTTACATCATAATATAACTATTTACTTTTTTATTACATTTTTAGTTTTATTTATAACTTTTTTTATTAATGTTTCTAATTTGTTTTTGCAAATTTCAGTTTTATTTACATCATAATGTTACTACTTTTCATTTATTTGTTTGTTAATCATTTAAAAAAAAAATGTTTTCAATTTTATTTATTACATTTCCAGAAAACGCACAACAGATAAATAAGCCATTCTTCACATCAGATAAACCATTTAAAAATATTATATATTAAAACAAAAACAAACAAACAAACAATATATATATATATATATATATATATATATACGTAAGACACTGGGAAGTTTTCTTCTCGACCACCATGTGTGAAATACTTTAACAAAGTAATACTAGATTAATTCTTCACATCCAGTTGGCTCGCATGCACTCCATTTCTCCTTCCTCCTCTGTCATGTTATCTAGACAAACAGCAGCTCTCAGCATGCTAGCAGGAGAGCTCAAGGTAAATGCTATTTGTCAGCGTTCCTGCATCAGTGCCAGCATTAGGGTGGGCTCTTTCTGGTGAGTCCTGCTCAAAGGAGCCGGTGTTGTAAGTTAACTTTCTTGAACAATGCGGTGGGTGGGAAAACAAAGCAAGGTCTGAAGGGAGAGCACACCTCAGAGACTATTAACAGCACAGTTGGGGTCTGCTAATTGCTAGAAATAACTACAGAGCTTGGGAATATGCTCCAGTCTGCCGGAGGGAGCTTTGCAGAGTAATTTTAGAGTTTATAGTGTCTTGTAGTTCAGTTTTGAGATCTTCAATATTGGTGGCATTTGCATGTGATTGAATGGTTTTTATGATGGCTTCATCTGGAAGCGCAAGATGATTAGGTGATCATTTCTGTCTCCCCCTTGTGCCCCATGTGTCCACACCGGTTGGTCTTGATGGCTCTCTGGGGGCTTGAAGGAAGGAAATGAGTTTTTCCATGCTCCTGCGTGTTGGAACATTTATCACCACCATCATCAGGAACTGCAGCGCAGGAAAAATTGGCTTGGCTTAGGATCTGTCACCAGAAATTTGATGTATATGACACAAAAGTATTTAGTCACTCCTCTGATCACCAGTGAAATCATGAGCTTCTATTTATCTGTGTGAACTAGCAAAGAGTTTAACCTACCATGTCACTTGGATCAAACATGCTGACAAATCAAAATAATAATTTGAAATAAAGATTTGCATCAAATGTGAGAAGAAAAAAATCAACAGGCTCTTTGGAAGATTTTTGCAAAACTCCAAAAACATACCAATACATACAATTCACTGCACTTTTTTTAAGCTGAAATGACTGCCAAAAGTGTTCATTTCAGCTTAAAAAACTGGTCAATTGTTTGTATTTGTATGTTTTTTTAAAACCAACAAATTTTGTTCCTTTTCACACAAACTACAATTACAGTGGCTGATTATTGATGACTAAAGACAATTTTTTGCACCTTTCCTTGCACAATACTATGTTATGACTTCTGAATATTTTTTATCATAGTGCATAATTTGTAAACAAATACATTTTGATCTTTGCATCACATAACCAGCTCATTTTGTATGACATTTCTGGTGTAGTAAACTTGCTTGGTAGCTTACCTGGTACAACACTGCATTTGCTTTGCAAAGTACTCAGATACAAGTCCCATGAAACATGAGTTACGATAAAAGAGCTCAAAGACTTGTAGAAGCAAGCGAGAATGGCATGGTTGCTTCACCAAAAGTGTTTTTATCTCACGTTTGCTTTTGTTGACACTATTGGTTAGGTTTATTTATCAAACTGCCGTGATATGTACAACAACTAACATACTAAAAACATTGCCAAATTCCCATTCATCTGTTTTGGATAAAACTGAACACCTTTGTATCACCACTCACTGGACATTTTACAGAAATAATGCCACAGGCATGTTTTTACAATGTGTCTGGGTTGAAAAAAGCATATTTGGGTGCACTCAGTGGGACAAATGGAAAATCATCAACATGGTGCCATTTCCACAGATATTTAGCACTCTTTGTTATTGAGTGTGAGCTACATCAGCATTTCTGTCCCACACCTGGTCTAAACAGGATAAATGTAATACAGGTGTTTGACTGTGTGCATTAGATGCCCCTGAACGTCACAGATGAGTCAGGAAGGCATTGTGGAAAATTGTTCATCAATAGAGGGGAAGTGTGTGGCATGTAGAATAAAAAGAGCGCACGAGGCCGAATAGGATAGTCTAATCGTGCTCATTCTAAAGGGACAAATATATCTTATTTCAGGAACAATGCTAAAGTGTGGTCACGCCTGGATGACACACAGGTCAATTGTTTCATTCCAGGCGAGAATTACCTGGTTTCCAAAGGAAAGGCATCCTCTGTGCAGCTCTGGGAAAGTGATACATTCTGCCAAGTGCCATGATCACCGCCCAGGTCGTTCCGGAGTCAACAGTGCAGGCGGCACGGGGGGATTCCAGCGGCATCAGCCCAGGCTATTCTTATCAGATATATTTCAGACACAAAAGGAAAGGGTGGTATGTTAATAGCAATTGTCACATGCCCAAGAAAGAAACTTGCCCATCAGAATTAGCAACTCTTCAGGAAAGGGAAACAAATACTTTGCTTCTGGTTTGGATTAATCTAGACTCTAAGGACAGCTATTAAGAATGAACTGGCGTCTGCTGATAGTGTGGGTGATTTGCGTTTTGCACATGCTTTTTGTATAGTTTTTGCAACGATAATGGCACATATTTTGATCTTGTAGGTCACTTCTGAGTGTTCAGTTGTAGAGGATTTAGCAGACGTCCATGATTTGGTGTACTTTATTGGAACTGTACAGTATTACTTCACCTCTGTGATCCAGAAGCTTTTATTTGGTAACACTTTCAACTGTGGTTTATTTGGACTAACAGTGAGATATGTCATCATTGACTCACCCTCGTTCCAAACCTGTATAACTTTTTTCTTCTGTGGAACACGAACACGAAAGAAGATATTTCGAATAATATTTTTGTACAAACAATGAAAGTCAATGGGGTCCGAATCAACATCGGACCCCATTGACTTTAATTGTATGGACAATTGGACGGTATGGGCAATCTGGACATTATGGACAATGTGGACAATTGGACACTGTATGGACCATTTTCAGTGTATTTTGTGCTCCACAGAAAAATGAAGCTTATACAGAATTGGAACATCATAAGGGAGAGTAAATGACAGAGTTAAATTTTTTTTGGTAAACTATCCCTTAACGTTTTTTGTAAACTGTTACCATTTATTTACATTTAATATATATAAAAATTCTCTGTTCTATGTGGCCTCTCTGTACTGAAAGAGATTTTCAGTTGTACTCTACTGTTATGCAGGTTAGTGACGTCTCAGTAGTCCAAAGTGAAACACCTGTGGATAAACTTGGCAGAGCCAATGTGTGGAATCCCCTAGTGTTATAGTTTTCAAGGTATGCTACACCAAACAAGTATAGCCGCTGCCAGAACAAGCGCACAAGTTAATGGCTCGGAACACGTGCTTATCCTGACCATCAGCTCAACAAAAGCCATAATTATCTGCAAAATAAACTCAGTTCCATGATTGTTAGACAAATAATGCATTAAATACTTCTTAGATAAACTTTACTCTGTTGTAGAAAAGCCAGAATTCACTGATTCACTTGTACCATTTTAACACTGACCTGTATAGGGATGAGTCATGATGGTCTCTTATGTTCACCAAGGCTGAATTTATTAATTTATTCCTGTGATTTCCAGCAGCAATTACTCCAGTTTCCAGGGTCATATGATCCTTCAAAAATCATTCTTATATGCTGATTTGATTTGCTTAAGAAACATTTTGTGAAGACCATGATATATTTTTTTCAGGATTCTTTGATGAATACAAAGTTCAGATGAACAACATTTATTTGAAATACAAATCTTTTGTGACATTATAAATGTTATTACTGTCACTTCTGATCAATTTAATGCATACTCTCTGAATTTTTTTTTTTTGGAAAGTATGGTATAGCTGCATCTTGGCTATCATGTGAATTTTCACACTTTTTTTCAGTACCTCAAAACATTTCAAGACCCCAGCATTGTATTCTTTCACACTGTCTAGTTGCTGAATGTAAGAACATGTCTGATGTAAAAGCCTCCTTCAGGCACCCCGCAACTTGTCGATTTTGAGAACATACCCTGTTGCACATGCACTAGACCTGTAGGAGTTCCTTCCATTCTGTTTTAATTTGGAAAAATAACAGGTATAGCAGATTAAGCATTGTAATGTGATCTTTGGTCCTCTTGAAGACAAATGAAATTGGGTCCTCTATAAAAACTTCCCAGAGTGTTTGCTTTCTTTATGACTCAGCATTGTCTGACCCATGAGATTAACTTTATATAGGCCCAGACATTATTTTTGGCATATTCTTGGTCTCCTCCTCCCATGCAGGCTGGAATTCCTCCAGGAAGGCCGAAAGAAGCCTGGCACTTGCTTGCAGCTTGCAGCCAGGCTTGGGCAGCTGGGATCTGGAAGGAGTTCCCTGCAGTTCTGGAGCACTCTGGCACCGCTCACACCCCCTACATCAAGCCCGTACCACACACCCCGCCTGCTCTCGCTCCACCTTCTTCTGCGCAACACAATACAGAAGAGCTCTGTGCTTCTGTACACCCACACCATACTCACATAACACACACACACACACACACACAGCGAGCGAGCTGTAAATGCGATTCAAGGATTCAGAGCAGCCCTGGTGGAAAAGTGCAGCAGGCGCCCGTCAGTTGCCGACTCGGCTCTGTGTGGCACTTGACACAGGCGCTCTCGCATAATCTGCCTATTATTCATTGTTAGTGGCGAGAGTCTTCAACACACTTCAAGGTCTATTCATCTGCAGAAACAAGTACTGTACTGGGTATCAGCACTGTGGAAACGGTCCCCCATTTGCCCTTTCAAATTCGCCTACCGTGCAAGATACAGCGCTGAATTGGAGCTGTTTCTTCAGCTGGAATCCATAGTGGTTTCTTTCCCCCAGGAGCGTCACGGCACCTGCAAGGAGCCGCCGTGAGTTTTGGCTGCACCGGTAAGGCGCCGCAAGCCCCGCCTACCTGCTGAAAGGCGGCCTGCTGACACCCTCCTGATCGGTTGTCTGGGGTTCTCAGCAGCCAAAAAAGCAGTAAAAAAGGAATTCCTTCCTAATGGTCCATGAAAGCTGTGATTCACAACTTATTATTGTTCGAGCCCTAGCGAATCTTTCCATATTACCTCAGCATTGTAACCTTCAGAAAACCTGTCCGTCACACTCTAGGGTTTATTTTCACGTCGCGCCCCCTCGTCCCGCTGTTCTGACTTGCTCGGGCAGATCTGTGGAATACAGTCGAGTAATCAATGGCCCAGAAAGCCCTTCCAGCTGGACACTTGTCATTGGTGATGGAGGAAAACCATGACAACCGGCCGCTTCTAAAGGACCGCTGGTGTTAGGGAGGTCAGTGCCCTGCCACGAACCCCCTCGCGAGTAAACAGACTTGACGGGGAAGGGCTCTCAGACTTGGACTGTGTTCTTTTCAATAATTGCGCTCATTGTTCTCCAGCTACTGTCAGTTATGGTCGCAAGCTGTTTGGTAGGCCCCTGTCTGTCTGCCTCCCCCCTACGCTAGCAGTGGTAGTGTTGCACCCTCATGGGTATCTGCTTGTGCCAGGGCTGAGATGCCAGCTTTGTGACCCTGATGCCCTGAAACTGATGTGCCTGACAGTGACAGTGTAGGTGTGCTTAGCAGAATGAAAATAAAACTTCCTTTCTTCCTTTTGACACGTATAATTTATACTGTACCTGCTAACATGTTAATATGCAGTGGGAGATTAATATTATATTATTTATGCAATTGGAAAATGCTATTATCTAAAGCCACTATCTATCTATCTATCTATCTATCGATCTATCTATCGTTCTATCTATCTAGCTATCTATCTATCTATCTGTCGTTCTGTTTATCTATCTATCTATCTATCTATCTATCTGTTCTATTGTTCTGTTGTTCTATCATTTTGTCTATCTATCGTTCTGTCGTTCCATCTATTGTTCTGTCGTTCTGTCTATCATTTTATCTACCGTTCTGTCTATCGTTCTGCCATTCCATCTATCGTTCTGTTGTTCTGTCTGTCTATCATTCTGTCTATCCATCATTCTATCGTTCTATTGTTCTGCCTATTGTACTATATTCAAGGCTTTTTACCTTTTCGCTGCAAACTTTTCTAGTTAAAATTAGTTATATGGAGTTTTGCATAAAAACATTTGCTAAATGAATTATTGAAAATGGTGTTTTCAATTCTGTATTCAAAACCTCATATGAATACAATCCGAAAGTACAGTACTATAAATCTGCCATGTTGGCATTGTTATTGTTGCTATTACCTGCCATTTACAATCTGGGTATTTTTCATTTACTGTTTTATAAATACTTGATATTTAGATGTACTGCTTATTTTACAAACTGCTTTTCCCATACTATGTAGTAGGGAAGTATGGACACAAGAAAAGACGTTGATGTTACTAGCTTTACCAGTTGAGCTATAGAAACTATAGGAAGTGCTGGTTTGAGAATGAGGTTTCTGCATCTCACATCACAGCACACCCAAAGACACATGCCTCACAGATAATCAGCCGGAGCATCATCAATATTAAGACTTACAAGCGAGAAATTAGCGGAGCCCTCGCTTTCTGGCATTAGTGCATTTCATTGTACTGTATTTCATTACTTCTTTGTGTTTAACGAACAAGAGACTCCCGCAAGTGGGGCCTCTTAGACAGACTCACTGATATGGAATGCAACATAAGAGCCATTCAGAATGAGCGAGGAGGGAGCGCCCCAAAAAAAGGAAGTCTTATGAGGGAGATCCTCACCCTTTCTGGTTTTTTCATTCTCTTCCATTTTTAATCTTGTCCAGAAGCATCTTCACATTATGGCTGCAGGAGCTGATGTCTGCCAAACAAGCGTGGGAACTGACCTGGCCCATCCAAAGCAGCCTCATCTGCAGCCTGTAATGATGGAACCTCAATGACATCATACACGTTTTGGAGCAGGGCTCTGGTAACTGCGCCGTACGTCTCATCCAAATACCAGTGGCTAAACGGAACACACACGCCGAGCTGAGCAATGGAAGTCAGATGGTCTGCGTTTTCTTTCTTCCTTTCCCCCCCTTCTGACTCAAGCGTAAGCGGCTGTCGGGATTTAGAGAGAAAGAGACTGAGGGGCCTCCGCGAGGGTCGGCCCCGACTGTAAATGTCGGAAAACGCACGCAGGCCTTTGTAACAAAGTGGAATCTGATATAATTTACCCCAGGCTGCGGTGTTTGATCTTCACCTACTTCAGGGTGCTTGTCAGAGCCGTGGAGGGGGGACTGGTGCAGCTTATGGGCCAAATTGCGGATTGTATGCAAGCATTGCTGCTGTTTTCTTTTCATGCTTCCTGCATAAATGTAGACATATTTAGTTACCTCC